GAATATATTATTGCCCTTTATATAAATCGATGGTACGCCCTCATCTCGAATACTGCGTACAGATGTGGTCTCCTCATCTCAAAAAAGATATACTGGTACTAGAAAAGGTTCAGAAAAGGACAAGTAAAATGATTAAGGGTTTGGAACGGGTCCCATATGAGGAGAGATTAAAGAGGCTAGGACTCTTCAGCTTGGAAAAGAGGAGACTAAGGGGGGATATGATAGAGGTGTATAAAATCATGAGTGATGTGGAGATAGTGGATAAGGAAAAGTTATTTACTTATTCCCATAATACAAGAACTAGGGTCATCAAATGAAATTAATAGGCAGCAGGTTTAAAACAAAAAAAAAAGGAATTTCTTCTTCACGCAGTGCACAGTCAACTTGTGGAACTCCTTACCTGAGAAGGTTGTGAAGGCTAGGACTATAACAGAGTTTAAAAGAGAACTGGATAAATTCATGGTGGTTAAGTCCATTAATGGCTATTAGCCAGGACGGGTAAGGAATGGTGTCCCCAGCCTCTGTCTGTCAGAGGATGAAGATTGATGGCAAGAGAGAGATCACTTGATCATTGCCTGTTAGGTTCACTCCCTCTGGGGCACCTGGCATTGGCCACTGTCGGTAGACAGGATACTGGGCTAGATGGACCTTTGGTCTGACCCGGTACGGCCTTTCTTATGTTCTTATGTGTCTCAATACCTTTTAAAAATCTAACCCTAAGGGCACTACTATACTATCTTTTCTGAAATCCTTCTCAAAGGTGAACTTCTGCTGTAATTCTTACTAAATATAAGTACACAATCCTGGACATATTAATAACCAGACGTATTCAAAATCATGAGTTATATACCCAAGAAGAATGAAATGAAAATACATAAATAATTACATTTGGGATTCTTTTAACTTTCTTTTTTTGCTTCTGAGCCTTTAGGGAACACACTCTTCATACTTTTGCTGTCACCTCACCCAAAGAATTCATATACTTAAAATGGTTGTACATTCCTATAGCAGTCACTACCATTCCGGACTTCCAGTAACATGTGACTCCCCACTCCCTTTGTAATTGAAAATGTATTAAAAATCCTTTTTTCTGTAAGTAATTCCCCATCCTGTGAACACTGAAGTGCACAATTTACTCTTCAACAAATTAAATAAATGAATACATGTTGATTTTTCTACAGAATTGTGTATCCTTTTAATTACATATTTTAATTTCATAGACTTTTATGTATGCTATGTATTTTGTGATACCTTTCAATGAAATTCTTCATTCTGACAAGTTTATTTTTCTGTACTTCCCAATTTTTTTATTTTTTATTTTTTTTGGACATGAATTATTCTGTTACTCCTTTGCTTTGGTTCCCTTTTGGAAAAACTAAAGTGCTTTGTCTCCACTATGTTTTCATGGGGAGATAGCTGATGCCTGTTAAGTATCCCAGGGTATTTGAGTCTGAATGTCTAGAGACCCCCATTTGGGTGGGTGCCATGGAAAACCATTTAAAGCCTTTTAAACTAAAGAAATTAACAGAGGCTTTCAAACCCTTCCCCCCCCACCACCAATTTCTCTTATTCTCTTCCCTTATAAAGGGCATGTCTATGGGGTATAACACTAAGGATGTGAAGTTAATGCACATATGTTACAGAGAGAGAGGAAAAAACTAAGGAATGACGAGGTTTTGGGCAAAGCCTGGTTTGTTGGTCTAGGAGCTATAGCTTTATTAGGATCTGAATTTCAATTTGTTGCTTTAAGGTGTGAGACACCATGGAAGAGACCTTTAAAGGTAAAATTAGATGCACTACTTTTACATTTTATAGCTAGATTTGCCTGTTTTTTCCCCACAGTTCTAAGGAATGACAATTGCTTTTGGGCCAAAGCATTGTTTGTTGGTCTAGGGATATGATTCTTGCTTACAATGCAAGCAGTCTGGGGGTTAAAACCCATAGAAACCCTTGCAAAGGTTGTGTTCACTCTTGTACCTTAAATTTTTTTTACTAGGTTTTCCTGTGTCTATGGGTATTATTTTGTTGGTGGTTTCTCTTTTTATTTTTAATTCTGAAGAATGACAATTTACTTTTGGCCAAAGCATAGCCTATTGGAGCAGGAGTTATTCTGAGGAAAAAACATTGTGAGGATAAGGCATCTCAGTTTAAGCAGTGGGGAAAAGGCCTGAGAAAATGAGTCTGAAATGTGATCAGAGGGGAACATGCTGACATGAGTGTGCCAAAGCACAGAAGTGCAAATTTTGTATTGAAAACTTGTTCAATGTGTGTAACAGCGGCGATAGTGGGAAGTCCATATGAAGAACAATGGTAGATTTTTCTGCCTAATAGCTTGTGTTTAAAAGGTATACATAAATATTTCAAATACTGTTTTCAATACTTTACACTAGTTTCAATGTTCTGTGCATTAACAGACAATCCATGGACTGATCTACAATGGAAAGAGACTGTCACGGAGTCACCCGGGCGATGATCTGGAACTACTCCATATGAAGCCAGTCAGGACTCTGGGGGGGAGCATGCCTCCTCTCTGTGAGCATACTGTCTCCAGGGCAAGAAGCTTACACAGCTTCGACCTTCCTGGGTCTGACCTCAGAGCATTCAGCATCCCCTTCCACACCATGCGCTTCCCGCAGCGAGTCTGCCCGGGAGGGGCTCCTGGGGAAGCCAGAGGGCCCTGCACCCCAACTCCACAGTCAGATGTGACTCTCAGCCAGCTGGTAAAACAGAAGGTTTATTAGTCGACAGGAACACAGCATAGAACAGAACTTGTTAGCACAGAAATCAGTGACTTTCAGCCAAGTCCATCTTGGGGGGAGGGGAGCCCAGAGCCAGGGCTTTGGCCCTCCCCCTGAGCCCCAAGCCAGCCGAGGCTGACTCACTTCCAGCTGCCTGGCCCCTGCCCTACCCATTGCTCCTCCTTCAGCCTTTATCTCACTTTAGGAGCCACGAGTCACCTAGTCACATCCCCCTCCTGGGTCTCGTGTTACGAAGGGGCGGCCATAGCATCTGTGCAGGCAGCCGGAGCAACCCCTGCAGAAGTCACACACCCTTATTCCCACCACCTAGTGATTGGTGCAATACACAGGGAAACTGAGGCACACACACATACAACATAACAAGGGAAAATCCCCACTTCATCACAGAGACTAATAAAGAAATAACACCTTCATTAGGAGTTTTACATGCAATAGGCCCGAGGTTTAACTCTTTAGAATGCTTTTCCCATTTACAAAAATACCTTTCTTTCTTTTCAAATGCAAAATAGAGATTTCACAATGGTAGCAAGCTGTGACAGGAGTGCCCCATCCACCACAACTCGCTACTCTTGGATCAGAGGAAGGGGAAAGGTGAGAGGTAGCAAGTTGTAGCACCCATCACAACTTGATACCACTGAGCTATAGCTTGGGGAAAGATAGAGAATGAAGAAAGGGCGGAGGTAGCAAATCGTGATGGGGATGTCCCCAGCCCTCAAAATATGCTATCTCTGGGCTAGGGTATGGGGAAAGGCACAGGCAGCAAATTGTGATGGGGCAGCAAAAGAGAATGCCCAGGTGTTAGTAGCTTCTAGCAGTAGCAAATCATGCTGGTGGCATATTTCTATCCCCAGGGGGATCACAGGGAGTGGGTGATGGTAGCCGTAGTCACTAGAGGGGTCTGGCTATTTGCTAACTGAGGGGGGTGGGGCTGCTCTCTCTCTCTGAGGCAGCATATTGGGGCTGAACTTCTGGGTCACATGCTGATTCTGCCTCTGAGTCCATTGGCATCTGGGATCTCAGGCTCTGCTGATTGTTATGGGGGGAGGGATAAGCTCACTGGTTTGAGCATTGGCCTGCTAAACCCAGGGTTGCGAGTTCAATCCTTGAGGGGGGCCATTTAGGGATATGGGGCAAAAATCTAATTGGGGATTGGTCCTGCTTTGAGCAGGGGGTTGGACTAGATGATCTCCTGAGGTCCCTTCCAACCCTGATATTCTATGGTTCTTTATCAGCTAAAGATATTTGAACTTCTTGGGGCAGACACTGCTGCTCTGTTGTGAGCCAGACACCAATTTGTCAACTGGAGACCCTGGGGAAAAGGGCTGGGGCTGGGCAGGAAAGTGACTCTGTACAAACAACCCAGCTTTGCTCCCAGGTGGGGATCTGTGAGTCCCTGAGCGCCTGCAGGAGCCAATCCAGCTCCCCTATAGTTTAAATAACATAAACAGCTATTTATCAATGTTTGAAATTCCGAGTTGCCATTGGAAAATCCATATGCTGGCAAGGAGGAGCAAGGGAGACGCCAAGGTGCTATGATACAGTCTGCCGCTACTGCACAAATGCTGGTAGTCAGGGCTTATCACTTGTTGCATTGCTTCTTAGAGCAGAAATCCTCCTGTTACTAAAAAAATAAACTAAATTTGAGTCATTTTGAGTTAAATTTTCCAGTGGGAGTATTCTCATTGACACCAATGTCATGTGTGTCTAAACAGCTGCATACATCTATCTAGTGGAGGGAGGGATAGCTCAGTGGTTTGAGCATTGGCCTGCTAAACCCAGGGTTGTGAGTTCAATCCTTAAGGGGGCCATTCAGGGATCTGGAGAAAAAATCTGCCTGGGGATTGGTCCTGTTGGACTAGGTGACCTCCTGAGGTCCTTTCTAACCCACAATTTTATCATGACTATGCCAGAATTTGGTGTTTTTCTGAAAGCCCAAGCTACTGGAATCAAGAGACTGGCTGAAAAATCACAGCTGTCAGTAAGAATAAAAGGGGTCTAGCCTTCATGGTGTGGATTTTTTTTTAAATCATCACTTTAGGTACATAATTCAATATTTGAATAGTTGGGGTTGTCAATACTGTATATTTATGAGAAGTAAAAAATGACAATTGACATTTCACTTTTGGAGGTATTTAAAACAAGATAGCATGGTACTCACCCTGTGTAGAATTTACTTGCCACATATTCACAAGTGGTGACATGTGAAAAGGCACTAGGATGTTGATACAGAGGCAAAATAACAGTTCGGAAAGGCAGTCCTCATTGGTGGATCAAAGGAAAGGGAAAAAATTTTCACAGCAAACCAGTAAAGCTTGAAGTTATATGATCAAAAGAAATTTGCGGGATAGGAAAAAAACATAAAAAAAAAGTTACAAAACCACAGCACTACACAGGAGTACACAACATCCAGCAGCACAATGCAAACCGAGGCAAATGCCAGAGTGCTAAAAACAATAGGAGTAATAAAAATTGTATTTAAATAAATAAAGGTGTGATGGTACATTTGACAGTGATTACAGGGAATAGCCTTCAAAATGAGGCAAATCGGAACAGCAGATGAGATAAATCTGTGAACTACGTAAACTGACAAGGAATTATTTTAAACACAAAACAACAGGATGTGTGTGTGAGTGAGTGAGAGAGAGAGATTTCAATGAACCAGGTCTCGTTGGTAGCTCGCTACATCATTTCAGATAGAGGAAGAGCTGCTGTATCTAGGCACTAGGCTACACTGCGCCAGGGAGGGGGCGCCGAGACGGACCATCCAGCGAACAGCACAAGCCCCTCTGCCAGCAATCTACACCCTGTTTGGCAACCACTACTGATGGCTCACCCCGTTTGCAGTATCTTTTATCCCCCACACCTCTTCCCTATCGGGGTTTCCCCTCTGACATGGTCTGGCACAATATCTCCCCTTTCTGAACCCCAGCACCCTATTCCCGATTTTCTCCATCTGCCTGCCCCGCCCCCTTACTCTCTTTTCACATGTTGGCTCCTGAACAATTTCTGCCCACCCTGCCCTCCGATTTCCCCCTCTTGCTCCCTCGTCAGCTTTGTCTTGCAGGAAGCAGAGTCTGGGGGAAGTAGGGGCAGAGCGAGGGCAGCGGCTACAGCAGATGTCACTGAGCATTCGCCTGGTTCCAGCCTGCCCTGGAATAACAAAGGAGCTAAATCTGTTGCTTCCTGTGCTGCTGTTTTGTCCCCAAAGTGTGAATGTGGGTGTGGGTCGGTCGGCGGGTTCATTAGCTGGGGCTGTGGCCACCAGAGGGCTCTGAGCATTGCTAGGGGAGGGGAGACAGCTAATAACACTGAGTCTGCTCATTTAAACTTCCTGGGTGGGACTCAGAAGACCTCGCTGCTGCCGCATCCATTGTGATCTGATCTGGGAGCTGATCAGCTGCTCCCCAGCGGGGTCTGTGCGGGGAGAGCCCTTCCCTATCGCCCCTCTGTGCCCAGCCGGGGGGACTTTCTGCGGTGGCTGGAAGCAGCCCCTGGGGCAGCCCCGGGCTCTATCGACACCAGCTCCTGAGCCGCAGACTCCAGGTGAGGGGAGAGACCCGGGGGAAAGTGCTGGGGCCGGGCAGGAAAGTGACTCTGCAGTGCACCAACGGCCCCTCCTCGCCCCAGCTCTGCTCCCGGGGGTCTGCGAGTCCCAGAGCTGCTGCCCTTCCTGACCCCCCAGGCTCTGCTCCCCTGAGCGCCTGCAGGAGCCGAGCCAGCTCCGGGAGAGCGAACGCCCCGGGCCGGGCCAGGGACCGAGTCTCCCAGCCCGAGAGGAGGGGAGAGGGGGCGGGAGGGAGACAGGGATAGAGACTGGCAGGGGCAGCAGGAGCAATCAGTGGGGAGGGAGGTTCCCGGCTCCCATCACTGCCCAGCTCCATTTCCTGCAGCACCCCGGGGCAGATTGACTTTCCTGGGACAAGGTGAGGGGCAGGGAGAGGAAAAACCACTTCCTGCCTCTGCCTATTCTCCAGGGCTCTGAGGAAGCGAAATCTGTAAAGATGACCACTCGTGATGAATCTGATAAAGTGGCTCCGTTTTTATACCCTTATGGCAGATATCACACAGGGGTCTGTCTGACTGTGTATCCCCTCCCCTCTTCCATACTCTGATAGGAAGGAGAGGCAAAATTGATCCCCTCCTCCCTCTCCTCTGGGAAAGGGTTTTGGGGACCAGGACGTGGGTGGTCATGTCTAGTGGTCAAAGCAGGAGTCAGTCCTAATGGTCAGAGCCATGGGTCACAGCCAGGATCAGGAACCTGCAGCCAAGGGTCAGAACTGGAATCTGAGGCTGGATGCCAGAACCCAGGGTTACAGCTGAAGTCAGGAATGGGAGGTGAGGGCTAGAAGCAGTTACCTGGATTGAGGCAAGGCAGGAGTAAGGCTGGGAATAAGCAGGAGCTACCACAGCCATGGGCAAATACACTGAACAGCCACAGCAGGTCTGCTAAGCCCCTCAGCCCCTGGTGGCTTGGCCCATCAGGCAGCTCAAATGGGGCCCAGCTGTGCTCATTACTGTGCCTGGGGTTCAGCTACCGGGTCCTTGCTCCTGACCAAGGACTGGGAGGGGTATTTGATTGATTTATCTCCTGGGCAGTTAGCTGGGTTTGTTCTGCCTTGTTTTACCCACGTTAGCAGGTGTAATATCCTTGTGGCTTCCTGCCCAGCATGACTCACCCCTGGCTGGAGCTCCCATTTTCTTTGAGTGTTCAGCTGCGATGTGGAGGTGGAATTGGTCCCCTCCTTTGTTTCCTCTGGAGAAGCATTTTTTTCCCCGGGGGGTGGAGTTCTGCTGATCTTCCCAGCAGTTACTTTGGTTTGTTTCTGTGATGCAAGAACCCCAGGATGCCAGGTGGCAAGGGGGTTACAGGAATGTCCTGATTCTTGTAAGTACATTCTGTTTCACCAAAGAATGACCTGTGCAGTCTTAAATGAAAATTGGGGTCACAGTGGAAATTAATATTGTTGTGAAATATATGTATGGATCCTGCGGAAGGGGGTGTGTCTAGATCCTGAAAATATGGTTTAAAGTCTGTGTCATGGCAGAGTTGTGTGACGCAGTAGGGAGCGGGGTGGATTGACCCGGGAATGTCATCTAGTTTTACTGGGACTGTCTGCATTGGGGATGGGATAGCAGGGGATGAGCCTGTAACCTGAGCCTGGAAGGGGGTGGGGCCAGGTGACACCTTTGCCAGGGTAACTGGACAAAAGCTAGAGGAGGAGCTGGGGGGAGGGGAGAGAGCCTGCTGGAGGTTTTTTTGCTTTCAGTTTTGTGCTGGGTGGTGGAACGCAGGGAACCCCAAGGCTGCGGTCTAAGCTCCCTGCCCCCCAGAAGGACTCGACTGCGGGGTCCTGGTTGTACCTACAAGCTCTGTTTTAGACTGCGTTCCTATTGTCCAATAAACCTTCCATTTTACTGGCTGGCTGAGGCCTTGGCTACACTGGCAATTCACAGCGCTGCACTTGCTGCGCTCAGGGGTGTGAAAACACACACACACCCCGAGCGCAGCGAGTGCAGCGCTGTAAAGCGCCAGTGTAATCAGCGCCTGCAGCGCTGCACGCTCTCTCGCAGCGCTGCAAGCTATTCCCCTCGGAGAGGTGGAGTACCGGCGCACCAGGCAGAGGCTGCTACAGAACTTTTACTGGCCCAGGGTCTTTACCATTGTCCATCAATATTGCCAATCCTGTGACCCCTGTCAGAGGGTGGGGAAGGCCCGGAACAAGGGGAAAGCAGCTTTGAGACCTTTGCCCATCATAGAGGAACCTTTCCAGAAGGTGGCCATGGACATAGTGGGACCTCTCAGCAAGGTGACCCGGTTGGGAAAGAAATACATTCTGGTGGTGGTAGATTTCGCCACCCACTACCCTGAGGCAGTGCCTTTAGCTTCCATTGAAGCAGATGCGCTCCTGACCATTTTCAGCCGAGTGGGGTTCTCCAAGGAAGTCTTGACAGACCAAGGATACAACTTCATGTCGGCCCTGCTCCGGTGCTTGTGGGAGAAATGTGGGGTCCGGCACAGCTTATCATCCCCCAGTCCAATGGGCTGGTGGAGAGGTTCAATGGAACTCAAAAGTTTTTAGCATCATCTTTAATGAACCAGCACCCGCAGGATTGGGACAAGTACTTACCTCACCTGCTGTTCGCGTACAGGGAGGTACCCCAGGAGTCTACTGGATTTTTGCCTTTCGAACTGTTATATGGAAGGAGGGTAAGGGGGCCCCTGGACCTGATGAGAGACGAATAGGAGGGGAAGGCCACTCCCGATGGAGAGTCAGTGGTGGAGTATGTCCTGATCTTCTGAGAGAGACTTGCTGAGCTCATGGGCCTGGTCAGGGAGAATTTAGCCAGACCCCAGAGGAAGCAGAAGGTCTGGTATGACCACACGGCGCAGGCCCGCGTCTATGCCACCGGGGATCAGGTGATGGTTCTCATCCCCATGAAGAAAAACAAACTACAGGCTGCTTGGGAAGGTCCTTTCAAGGTTGTCAAGCAGCTAAATGAGGTAAACTATGTGGTGGAGCTGTCTAACCGGGCACACCACCACCGGGTGTACCATGTGAATATGATGAAGCCATATTATGACAGGGGGAATGTGGTGTTGGCCATGTGTGGACATTGGGAGGAGCAGGGTGATGACCCTTTAGTAGACCTATTCCCTGAGACAAGAACTGGCTCCCCCTGGAAACCAGGTGGAGACAGGAAGCTGAGAAGTGCAAGGTGTGGATGGCTGAAGTATCTTACCTAGGTCACTGGGTGGGGAACGGCTGCCTAAAGCCAGAACCAGCCAAAGTAGAGGTAATCAGAGACTGGCCTGCCCCCCAAATCAAAAAACAGGTCCAAACCTTTATTGGGATCATAGAATATCAGGGTTGGAAGGGACCTCGGAGAGTCATCTAGTCCAACCCCCTGTTCAAAGTAGGACCAATCCCCAGACAGATTTTTTTCCCCAGATCCCTAAATGGCCCCCTCAAGGATTGAACTCACAACCCTGGGTTTAGCAGGCCAATGCTCAAACCACTGAGCTATCCCTCCCCCCCTGGTGGGGTACTATCAAAGATTTGTGCCCCACTTTAGCTCCATAGCCACCCCCATCACTGAGCTATGCAAGAAGGGGAAGCCAGACAAGGTGGTCTGGACCAAGGAGTGCCAGGAGGCTCTCCGGGCCCTGAAGGAGGCTCTGGTCAGTGGCCCAGTTTTGGCAAACCCAGACTTTGACAAGCCCTTTATGGTGTTCACCGACGCCTCAGACATGGGACTGGGCGCAGTGTTAATGCAAGATGATGAAAATGCGGAGAGACACCCCATCGTGTACCTGAACAAGAAGTTGCTAGCCTGGGAGCAATACTACGTGGCCATTGAGAAGGAATGCCTGGCCATGGTGTGGGCCCTCAAGAAACTAGAGCCATATCTATTTGGGTTACACTTCACCGTGTACACCGACCACTCTCCCCTGACCTGGCTACACCAGATGAAAGGAGCCAACGCCAAGCTCCTGAGGTGGAGCCTCCTCCTGCAGGATTATTATATGGATATGGTCCATGTGAAGAGAAGTGCCAACTTGATAGCGGATGTGTTGTCCTGGAGAGGGGGTCCTGAACTTCCCCAGGTCACTGGTCAGAGTGACCCCGCTCAGTTCAGTCTCAAAGGGGGGAGAGATGTGATGCAGTAGGGAGCGGGGTGGATTGACCAGGGAATATCACCTAGTTTTATTGGAACTGTCTGCACTGGGGATGGGATAGCAGGGGATGAACCTGTAACCTGAGTCGGGAAGGGGGTGTGGCCAGGTGACACCTTTGCCCGGATAACTGGACAAAGCTAGAGGAGGAGCTGTGGGGAGAGGAGAGAGCCTGCTGGAGGTTTTTTTGTTTTTTTTTGTTTTTTCAGTTTTGTGCTGGATGGTGGAACGCAGGGAACCCCAAGGCTGCAGTCTAAGCTCCCTGCCCCCCAGAAGGACTCAACTGAGGGGTCCTGGTTGTACCTACAAGCTCTGTTTTAGACTCTGTTCCTATTGTCCAATAAACCTTCCGTTTTACTGACTGGCTGAGAGTCATGGTGAATCCCAGGAAGAGGGGTGTAGGGCACTGAGTCCCCCACATTCCATGACAAGTTGACAAACAGGTTTTCTGTCAGATAGGAGAAGTTTAGTCACCTCTCTCTGCTGAGATGTAAATTAAGTACTGGAATCCAGTGCCATGGATACACATTTACATACAGGGCTGGCTCTGGCTTTTTTGCCGCCCCAAGTAAAAAAAACCCAAAACAAATGTTCAGGGCGGTCGGAGCGGTGAAGCAAAAAAAAAAAAAAACGTAGGAGGGCGGCCAGCTAGCGGGGGGGGAGGGAAAGGGAGAGCCGGGAGAGAGAGAAGGGGGTCGGCCAGGCCTTCCTTCAGCCGGGGCATTCACCACTCGGCCCCTTCCGCTGCGCTGCCTGCCGGGAGGGCTCCATGCCGCTCCCGCCTGCAGGTGAATTGAAGGTCGGTGGGGAGGGAAGGACGTGGGCTGCCAGGTTTGCTGCAGACCTGGCACCGGGTGGGGCAGACGGAGTGCGCAGCCCGCTCCCAGCCGGGTGTTCCCCTCCTCCACGCTGCCACCCCCTAGAGGGCGGCTGGAGCAGCAAAACAAAACGGGGGGAAAAAAAGGGCGTCCGTGCCACCCTAGAATTGGACAGAGTGCTGCCCCTTAGAATCTGCTGCCCCAAGCACGAGCTTGCTCGGCTGGTGCCTGGAGCCGGCCCTGTTTACATACAAAGTCAATGGAGAGATGTAAAAACAGGGAGGCAACACTCAGGAAAATAAGCTGACTTGGAGCACAAAGAATGAATTTTGGGGATATAAATGGAAGGCAAAGAAGACACCCTTTTATCCTGCACCTAGGAAGTAAACAGGTGGTTTGGTTACCTTCATGAAAACAGGATCTCAACCAACCTTGGTTGAAATGCTGCAGAAGACATTGGCTGAGATAAAACTTCTTTAGATAGGAGGTTACCCTGTTAAGTCTCTAGAAAGAGTGTTATGATTTTTGTTGTGTATGTCTTCAATATCCTTACTCACTGCCACTTGAACCTTGAATCTTTATTAATGAACTTATTGTGGTTTTCACTATAGATATATCTAAGTGCTGTGGTATTAAGCTAGATGTTGATCCTGAACTGAATCATACCAGCTAGTGTGTATGCTTTTCCTTTGGGGACAGCAACTTGGTATTTTTTGTATGGTTTGTGGATAAGGGGCTGGACACTACAGGGGAATGCTTCAAAGGGACTTGGGGATTAAGGTGCACCTATTGTTAACCTGCAAGGCAAAGTAAAGGCTGGCATCTCCAGAGGAGAGTGGCTAGCAGACTGGTAGTGTCAGGGAGTTTGGGACAGATTTTCATTACCAATCTGCCTGGGCCCACTGTTGATCAGGCTGGGGCCACAGGATCTTTTGGGGAGGAGATGACGAGGCTGTGACAATGCGGTTCTGGTGGAACCCAACTGAGAGTGCCAACTCAGGACAAATTGCTCAAACAGGGCAGTTACAGCCCAAGGCTGGGGTTTTTTCCACCTCTAAGGCAAACCAAACCAGCCAGACTAAGAGGACTTCGGTCTCACCCCAGTGGCTAACAGCAAGTCTCACAAGCAATCTCCTTAGACACTCCAATTTCCCAGTATTACCACCAGTGCCACTCATTATGGGGACAAATGGCTATGAAAACCAATACCCCAGTAAAAGAAAAAGGTTCTCCTGATCGCAAAGGAACAAGCCCCAGACCCAGGTCAATAAACAAATCAGATCTTACCCAC